CTTGCAACGGGGTTCGCGCGCCTGCCAGGGGCCACAATCCCTTGCGGTTGCGCCATAGGTTGCGCCCTCGGCCGCCGAGAATAAAACGTCCCCCTATTGGTTGCGCCATAGGTTGCGCCCTCGGCCGCCGAGAATAAAACGTCCCCCTACTGGTTGCGCCATAGGTTGCCCCAGGAGGCCTTCAAGAGGCCCCAAGAGCCCGCCGTGAGGACCCAATAAGCCCCCAAGAGGCCCCAAGATGCTTCCAAGAAGCCCCCCAAAGCCCCTCAAGAGGACCCCAAGCGGCGCAACCATCAGGACAACCATCAGGACAACCATCGGGACAACCATCGAGACAACCATCGGGACAACCATATCCTCTCTCTCTTGTGTATTCCCACATCCCTCAGGAATTTGCCCTAAAGATGTGATCAACTATCTTGTGAGTACGTATCATGTGTATCATGTGTATCATGTACCATATGCATCATATGCAACAGATGTTCTGTGGAAGGCTTAACAACTTCTGTGGGTTAACAAGGCTTAACAACTTCTGTGGGTGTACGAACGTAGGCTTAACAACTTCTGTGGGTGTGTACTCCACGCCAGTGTAGTAGCCACGGTCGTCCGCAGGCCACGAAGTGAAGTGTCCGAACGTCATAGGGCGGGAAGCTGGGTGTGGGTGGTGGCGAAGAGTCGTGTGGATATTTGGTAGAGCTTGCACTGCCCCCCCACAAAGTGGGGGTATTGGCTGGCGTCGCATGAAAACCCTGGCACTGGTGAGAACACTGAGCGTTCGGGTAAAGTGATTGTTGTTGTTGTTGTTGTTGTTGGGGGGCTGGATTCGGCGGTCCTTCAAGCTGCTCGAACGTGAGCCTCATTTTCAATGAAAATGTAGCCGGCGCCTCGGCCAGAGCGCCAGGGCGCCTGTAAGGGGTCAACAATAAAAATTGTTTAGTAATTAACATACAACAACAACAACAACAACCACAACAACAACAATCATTCTAAGACTGTTCGCCCTTATCTGCTCGAGTGTCCAATAATGCGTATTTCCCAAACCCTCGATACCCGCCCTCTTCGTCTTCGATCGAACCCCTTTTGGGGGGTATACCTTTCTTCCCTGCAGGCCGGGCCCCGGCAAGCGGCGAGGCGGCCGCGGACCGTCGGCCTGGCCAGCGGCAGCGCTGATCGGCGGGGCGGCCGCGGACCGTCGACCCGACCCCAAGAGGGACGGACAGGGGGCCGACCACGACGACGAAGACGACGACGACGACGTCGACGACGACGGCGACGACGACGACGACGGCGACGACGAGGGAAAGCGAGAGCGAGAGAGAACGAAGGACACGAAGTAGGCCGGCGGGGACACGAAGGGAATGCGCATGGGGCCACGAAGAGCGCGAACGAGCGGGGGCCACGAAGGGCAGATAATGCGGGGCCACAGAAGGCAACGATGGGGCCACTGAGGGTAACAACTGGGCTACGTAGGACAGCGAGGGGGCCACAAACGGCGACAGCGGGGCCACGAAGGGCATGCAAATGGGGCCACAACGTGCGCGACTCCTGGGTGCCTGGGTGTCGGGAGCGCGGCGCTTGAGCAAATTGCAAGAAATTCCAACGCAAGGGCGCTATTCTTCAGTGAATTGCAAGCAAATCTCCAGCAAGAGCGCGACTTCAGAGCGCCGGGGGAGCGATGTCTGAATAAATTGTAAGGAAGTCCCAAGCGAGAGCACGATTCCTGAATAAAATGCGAGGGCGTCTCGGGCGGGAGCGGGGGTCCTGGCTAAATTGTGAGGAAGTCTAAGGCGGGAGCTGTTGTTGTTGTAACCCGGGGGCCACGGGCCCAGTTTGAGCATCAAGACTTTCCCTGTCAAAAAACAGGGTGCGAGCGTCGAGGGGCACACTTTGATTGACAAAAAACAGTCTGTACCGGTGGGGGGGACCAACAACAACAGCAAAAAAAAAAAAAAAAAAAAAAAACAACAACAACAACAACAACAACAACAACAACAACAATAACAACAACAACAACAACAGCAACAACATCAACAACAACAACAACAACAACAGCAACAACAACAACAACAGCAACAGCAGCAGCAACAACAACAACCACGACAACAGCAACAACCACAACAACAGCAAAAACAAAATCAACAACAAAAACAATAACAACAGCAAACACAACAACCAATAACAATAATTCTAAGACTGTTCGCCCTTATCTGCTCGAGTGCCCAATAACGCGTATTTCCCAAACCCTCGATACCCGCCCTCTTCGTCTTCGATCGAACCCCTTTTGGGGGGAATACCTTTCTTCCATGCAGGCCGGGCCCCGGCATTAAACATAAAAACACAAACATTAAAAACATCAACAACATAACATCAAAAACATAAAAGCATATAATCTTACAACATCAAAACATAAACATTAACGAAAACAACAACGACGACAACAACAACAGCAAGGACGAAGACGACGACGACAACGACGACAACAAGAACGCCAACAATAACAGCAGCAATAACAACAACAGCAACAAGAACAACAACAACAACAACAACAGCAGCAGCAGCAGCAGCAGCCGCAACAACAGCAACAACAACAATAGCAAAAACAGCAACAGTAACCACAACAACCACAGCAACAACAACAACAACAATCAGGTTAAGACTGTTCGCTCTTATCTGCTCGAGTGCCATTCAAGGCGTATTTCCCAAATCCTGGATACCCGCCCTCTTCGTCTTCGATCGTAGCCCCCCTTGGGGATATCTCTTTCTTCCCTGCAGGCCTGGCCCCGGCAAGCGGCGGGGCGGCCGCGGACCGTCGGCCTGGCCAGCGGCAACGCTGACCTGTGGCAACCCGACCCCAAGAAGGACGGACAGGGGACCGACCACGACGACGACGACGACGACGACGACGACGACGACGACGACGGCGACGACGAGCAAAAGCGCGAGCGAGAGCGAGAGCGACAGCGGGGCCACAGAAGGGCAGCGACGGGGCTACGAAAGGCAGCAAGGGGGCCACGAAGGGCTGCAACGGGGCCACGAAGGGCATGCGTATGGGGCCACGAAGGGCGCGAACGAGCGGGGGCCATGAAGGGCAGATAATGCGGGGCCACAGACGGCCAACGACGGGGCCACTAAAGATAGCAACGGGGCCACGAAGGGCAGCGAGGGGGCCACGAAGGGCTGCAACGGGGCCATGAAGGGCAGCGAGGGGGCCACGCAGGGCTGCAACGGGGCCACGAAGGGCAGCGAGGGGGCCACGAAGGGCTGCAACGGGGCCACGAAGGGCAGCGAGGGGGCCACGAAAGGCTGCAACGGGGCCATGAAGGGCAGCGAGGGGGCCACGCAGGGCTGCAACGGGGCCACGAAGGGCAGCGAGGGGGCCACGAAAGGCTGCAACGGGGCCACGAAACATGCGAGGGGGCCACGAAGGACTGCAACGGGGCCACGAAGGGCAGCGAGGGGGCCACGAAGGGCTGCAACGGGGCCACGAAGGGCAGCGAGGGGGCCACGAAGGGCTGCAACGGGGCCACGCGAGGGGGCCACGAAGGGCTGCAACGGGGCCGCGAAGGGCAGCGAGGGGGCCACGGAGGGCAGCAACGGGGCCACGAAGGGCAGCGAGATCCCGATTCTTACGTTAGCTGCGAGGGAGTCCTAAGCGTGAGGGCGACTCCTGGGTGCCTGGGTGTCGGGGGCGCGGCGCTTGAGTAAATAGCAAGGAATTCCAGCGCAAGAACGCGAATCTTAAGTAAATTGAAAGCAAGTCTCCAGCGAGAGCGCGACTCTAGAGCGCCGAGAAAGCGATGCCTCAATAAATCGCAAGCAAGTCCCAAGCGAGAGTGCGATTCCTGAGTCAAATGCGAGGAGGTCTCAGGCGGGAGCGGGGGTCCTGGCTAAATTGTAAGGAAATCTCAAGCGGGAGCCGTTATTGTTGTAATATGGGGGCCGACACTTTAGTTTGAGCTTAGCAACTTTCCCTGAGGAGGGAACAAAACTGACTCTGCGGTAATGAAAATTCACTCACAGCAACAACAACAACAACAACAACAACAACAACAACAACAACCACAACCACAACAACAACGACGACGACGACGACGACGACAACGACAACAGCAGCAGCAGCAACAGCAACAGCAACAGCAACAGCGATAACAACCACAGCAGCAACCAGCAAAAGCATAAGTATCATCATCACCATCATCATCATCATCATCATCATCATCATCATCATCATCATCATCATCATTGTCGTCGTCGGTGTCCTCATCGCAAGCATCGTCAGCATCCGCAGAAGCATCGTCATCATCCACCGCATCATCATAGCTTCATCATCCTCCTCATTATCCTCCTCAGCATCGTCATCATCAGCAGCTTCGTCATCGTAATCGTCATCGTCATCATCATCATCATCAGCAGCCGCATCAGCGACATTACCATCCTCATCATCATCCACAGCATCATCAGCATCAGCATCAGCATGATCATCATCAGCAGCAGCATCATCAGCATCATCACCATCATCACCCTCATGATCGTGCCGTCATCATTACACACCCCTCCTCCTCCTCCTCCTCCTCCTCCTCCTCCTCCTCCCCCTCCTCCTCCTCCTCCTTCTCCTCCTCCTCCTCCTCGTCATCATCATCAGCATCATCAGCTGCAGCAGCAGCATCAGCATCAGCATCGATATCAGCATCAGCATCAGCATCATCATCATCATCATCATCATCATCATCATCATCATCAGCATCAGCATCATCAGCATCATCATCATCAGCAGCAGCATCATCATCACCAACAACACCAACATCATCATCATCATCATCATCATCATCATCATCATCATCATCATCATCATCATCATCATCATCAGCATCAGCATCAGCATCAGCATCAGCATCAGCATGTCCATATCCTTCTGCTCACCCCATCCCCCTCTCTCCCATCCCTCCTCCTCCTCCACCTCCTCCCCTTCCCCCCCCCCGAGCGGCAGAGCAGAGGCGCACCTCCCCCGCCCGCTGCACCAGCGCCCTCACCGCCGGGTGCTCCGCGAAGGAGGTGCACCGCGTCAGGCGCTCGCTGGCCGCGAGCCAGTGCCACACTTCCTGCCGCCCCCCCTCGCCCTGGGCGAGCCCCCTCCAGACGGGGGGCTTGGAGGGAGCCATCTCACCCCACCCCCCCCCCTCCCTCCAGACAGAAGCGCGGGGGGGGGGGGGGGCCAAGGGCGAGGGAGAGGCAGGGAAGGGCCAAGGGCGAGGGAGAGGGAGGGAAGGGCGGGCCCCCTCCAGACAAGGGGGGGGGCAGGGGGGAAGAGGGGGGAAGGGGCAAGGAGGCAAGGGGGGGAGGCCAGGGGAGGGCAGGGGCAAGGGGCGGGAGGGACACGGCGGGGGAAGGGGGCCGGGGGGGGGAATGAGACCGATTACAACCACGTCGGACTGTTCAGGAACTACTTCGGTCGGATTACAACCACTGGAGAACGACGAATCGCAACCTGAAAAAATCCTATAATACAACCGATCCAGAGCTTTTGCAGAGTTCTCAGCGAGGCCTCTGAGAGGCCTCAGCGAGGCCTCTGAGAGGCTTCAGCGAGGCCTTTCTCAGAGGCTTCTCTCAAGCTTTCAAAGGCTTCTCTGAAGATTTCAGAGGCTTCTCTGCGGCCTTTCAGAGGCTTCTCTGAGAGGCCTTTCTGAGGCCTCTGAGAGGCCTCAGCGAAGCCTTTCAGAGGCTTCTCTGAAGCCTTTCAGAGGCTTCAGAGACTCCCGCTGGCTGAGCCCTGCTACCTACTCCCAGACCGCCTGGCGTCGTGACAACGTCTGTTTTTGTTTCGGGCTCCGGGTGCCCTCGCCGGGCCCATGGGCCGTCCAAAAGTGAGTCAGTATGCAATGCTGGTCTACTGTAGGTTCATGCGGCGTTGGCACGCCGGCGAGGTTGGCGAAGGCGTTCAAGGCTGCATTCTGCGACGCGGAAGCACCGAAGGACACGGTGGGGCCACTGTACCCGATGAAATTAAACCTCGAACGATCGGGGCCGCGATCGATTCAAGGTTGAACGATCGACGCGGTGACAAAAGCCTTGCGAGTGCCGACGCCGCACGAACCTACCGTAGGGGAATTCGTCCAGACCTCTGGGGGCCGACGTTCTGGAAAAATAATGACGTTGGGGGTCTGGGCCGACTCGTCTACCCGCCTTGCCATCCCTTCCTCCTCCTCCTCCTCCTCCTCCTCCTCCTCCTCCTCCTCCTCCTCCTGCTCCTCCTGCTCCTCCTGCTCCTCCTGCTCCTCCTGCTCCTTCCTGCCCTTCCTCCCTCCCCTCCTCCTTCTCCCTTCCTCCTCCCCCCCTCCTCCGACTCCTATTCCTCATCATGCTCCTCCTCCTCCTCCTCCTCCTCCTCCTCCTCATCCTCCTCCTCCTCCCCCTCCTCCTCCTCCTCTCCTCCCTCCTCCTCCTCCTCCTCCTCCCTCTCCTCCTCCTCCTCCTCCTCCTCCTCCTCCTCCTCCTCCCCCTCTTGAGATGCAATTTGTTTCACACCGGGCGTTTTCGCTCAGTTTCGGTTTCAATCGTACACGAATCACGTAGGAATCGTATACGGAACATGGCCACGTTCGAGCTCAAGTACATGTGTTTAGCTGAGATCATGATCGCCCGTCGGTGATCGGACCGATCGCAACCGGTTTTTCAGATTCCCATTCTGCGGCTTAAGGGAGCTCAGTGCACCTAGAGACGCTCTTTTGATATCTTCCTTAATCGAAACCTTATTGAAACGACCCAAAAACATCGCAACCACTTCGGACCGATCGCAACTGGTCGACGATCGGTCCGAAAGGGTCGACGATCGGTCCGAAGTGATTGCGATCGGTCGTGCTCGCGGGGGGGGGGGGGGGCGGGGGAGGGGGGCGGCCGAGGCCCGATCTGGTGCCACCGGGGCGCAGCGCCGTGCTGCGGCGCGCCTGCCCCGCAGCGCACCCACGAGGGATCCGAGGGATCCGAGGCTCGTAAATTTTACTCCATGCTCGCGTGGCCCGAGGCCACGGCCACCCGTTCGGTATGGAGGAGGAGGAGGAGGAGGAGGAGGAGAAGGAAGGGGAGGAGGAGGAGGAGGAGGAGGAGGAGGAGGAGGAGGAGGAGGAGGAGGAGGAGGAAGGGGAGGAGGAGGAGGGGGAGGGCGGTCTGCTCTTCCCGAGGCTCGGCCAGCAAAGAGGCCCACAGCACAAGGGAGGGTCGCCAATCTCGCCACGAGTCCGCAGAGGGCGGCCGTGCGCCACCGTCGTCCCTGGCCAGGGCCGGGCGCGGGGGGTGGCTTATGGACGCCCTCTGCGAAACGAAGCTTTCCAGCTTGGGCCCAGCAGGCACCGCTTGCGAGACCCGCCAGAAACAGTCCGCGGACAGCCCACGCTCTGATGCGCTCAAAAGAAGCCCGGAGCGACTCCAGCACAGCCTGGGACGAGCACCCGATGAACCGGTCCCCGGGGCAGCGACCGCGCGCCGAGGAGCAGCGCAGAGCGACCAAGACGCCGTCGGCGGCGACGTGAAGCCAGACGAGGAGGAGGGGGAGGAGGAGGAGGAGGAGGAGGAGGAGGAGGAGGAGGAGGAGGAGGAGGAGGAAACGAGGAGGAACGAGGAGGAGGAGGAGGAACGAGGAGGAGGGGGAGGAGGAGGAGGAGGAGGAGGAGGAGGAGGAGGAGGAGGAGGAGGAGGAGGAGGAACGAGGAGGAACGAGGAGGAGGAGGAGGAGGAGGAGGAAAGAGGAACGAGGAACGAGGAGGAGGAGGAGGAGGAGGAGGAGGAGGAGGAGGAGGGTTCCAGCGCGGCCAGCGCACTGCACCAAAGCGACCAGGGCACCACCGAGGCCCACAGCAGGCCTCGGGGTCCACCGCGGCTGGCTGCCTCGTCACGATTTGGAGGGAAGGGCGGCGCTGCCTTCTGGGCTCGGAGCCGGACCCTGCCTGCGGGAGGAGGACGAGGGCCAGCCCGAGAGCACCCCAAGTCAACCCCGCCAGTGGAGGCTGGGCCAAGCTCAGCCCACCTGCAGGCCAGAACTGCATGCGTGCCGCATGCGTGCTGAGACAGGAGGGAAGGGCCACGCAGGAGGTCGAGAGAGGAACGAGGGCAGAAGAGGAGGCCCAGCCCAACACAAACACATCGCAGCGCAAAAACCCAGCCAAGCAAGGGCAAGGAAGCAGGGGTGGAGGCGGGAGGAGGCCCAGCCAAACCCAACCCGACACCGCCCAATCCAACCCAAGCCCAGCCCAGCCCAGCAAGAACTAAGAGGGAGGGAAGAAGAAGAAGGAGGGAGGAGGAGGGAGAAAGCGGGCTCCGACTTCGCCTCGCGTACCCCGTGGCGCCAAGAGCCGCTGCCACTGAGTGCTCTTCCCGAACGCGCTGATGCCAGAGTTGTAGTATGGATGATTTGGGCTCCAATTGCAGCTTCCACATCTCGTTGAGCAGCGCCGAAGCCTGCTACTGCTGCCGCCGCCGCCACCGCTGCTGCTGCTGCTGCTGCTGCTGCTGCTGCTGCTGCTGCTGCTCGATCTATTCGCACGCGCTGACCCGAGCGCGTCGAAGTAGCGGAGAGCCCGCAGGGAGTGATCGTGCCGCGCCAGACGCAGATCTGTGTCCTCTCAGGTGCGCTGATGATTCAGTCCACCAAGGAACCACAGCCCGCCGAGGCCAAGACAATTGACACTATTGGCTCTCTGACAATTGGCACGTACTGACGCCAGCGCTGTAGCTGATGACGTTGAGCTTGAGCTCCAGCTTCGCATCCCACATCTCACCGATCAACGCCACAGCCCCCTGCCAGTGTACGCCCTTCTCGCACGCGCTTAATCCAGCGCTGTAACTGATGGCGTCGAGCTCCAGCCTTACTGCCCAAAATTCTCCGAGCAGCGCTAACGCCCGCTGCCAATGTTGGCCCTTCCCGCAGGCTCTGATGCAAGCGTTGCAGCCGATGGCATCTGGCTCCAACCTCGCCTCCCACGTTTCGCACAGCAGCGCCAAAGCCCGCTGCCACTGCAGGCCCTTCTCGCACGCGCTGATCCCCGCGCTGTAGCTGACTAGGGCTGACCCGTGGACTACGTCCATGTGACTGGCATGTGATGGTAGACGCACTGCCGAAAAGCAGAAATGATTACGCAGGGTTGGACCCTCGCGTTCTCCACATGCTGCTGCACTATGTTGCTTGCTGCCGCTGTTGCGTGCTGTTGGAAAGCTTGCCGCTGCTGCGTGTTGTTGCTGCTCGAGGCTGCAGGGTGCTGTTGATGGTCATTTCTGTTTCGTGCGTGATATTGCCCGCTGTCTGCTGCTACTTCCTGTTACTGTGTGCTGCTGGTGCCAGTTGGGGCCTGATTTGGGCCTCTGGGGGGCCTCCTGGGGCTTCTGGGGGACGCCTTGGGGGGCCAGCTGGCAGTCTCGGGGACCCTCTTGGGACGGAGGGCGCGGAGTGTCGCATCGAGTTCCCCTTCTTGTAGCCCTCTTGGGCCCTCCTCGGGAGCCGCTTGGGCGGTCTTGGGGCACTCTTGGGCCGCCTGGGAGCCGTCTCGGGGCCCTGTTGGGCCGTGTGGGGGCAATCGGGCCTCTCGCGCCATCTTGGAGCATCGAAGTCCGAAAAAACGAGAACTCCCAAATCCGTGGAAAGCCCAACAGAAAAACAATGATGCTGGCCTCCCAAAGCCCTCTTGGGAGGCCTCTTGGAGCTCTCCTGGGCCGTCTTTTGGGCCGTCTGAATGCCATCTTGTCGACCTCGTGGGCCTTCTGGGGGCGTCGTGTGCCATCTTGAGCCGTCTCGAAGCCCGGAGGGGCCCGCCTTGGGGGCCAGTTGGGCGGTCTTGTCCCTCTCAGGGGCCTGTTGTGCCGTTTTGGGGCGATCGTTCGGGCCTCTTGGGCCGTCTCGTCTTGGAGCGTCAATTGGCGAGAACGTCGAAAGCATTGAAAATTCACAAGACGAATCAATGGTTTTCGCTTCTCGGGGCCCTCTTGGGGGCCGTCTTGGGCCGCCTTGGGGCCCTGTTGGGCCGTCTGAAACCCTATTGGCGACCTCTTGGGCTGGCATCTCGGGCCATCTGGGGCCGTCTCGGAGCCCGCCAAGGCCTGCCAGGGCCTGCAAGGTCCGCTGGGGGCCGGGGACAATTTTGGCCAGTTGAGCCGCGTCCTGGTGCTCACCCTTCTG